TTATACTTTAGTATTATCTTAATTATAATTATTATATTATAAATATTCAATAAATTATATTTTAATTTATTGAATATTCTCTTCTTATTATAACTTTTAAATATTAGTTTTTTTTATTCTTTATTATTTATATAATTAATAATAAAAAGTTTTTAATTATTATAATAAATTAATATAATTCTCTTAATTTATATTTATAAAATAATATTATTGTAATATTTTTCTTAATTTCTTAATACTTTATTAATAATTAAATAATTATTAATAATTATTTTTTTTATTCTCTTACTCCTGATCTTGATTTTATTTAATATTTAAGTAATTAAATAAAAAATTTTATTTTTTAAAAATAATAAAATATTATTATCTAGGCTTGAAAGTAAAGAAAGACTAAAAAACTATTTATTTAATTTAATTAAGAAAAATGTTTTTTATATAAAATTTCTAGATAGAATCTCATATCTTTTATATCTTATATATTTATTTATTTCAATATTGATTAATAGAGAATTTTAGAACTAGTTTAATAAGTTATTATATTTAAAAGAAATTATCAAAAGAAGTCTTTTTTTATAATATTGTCACGACTAGAAATGCAGGCTCAGCGCTCGGCTTGGCAAAGGCGGATATAGGACACCCCTGCGGGTAGATAGCGGACCGACGTCTAACTGACGGGTACTCGCCGCTTATAATAGACTGAGAGAATCGCTGGGAGAGGACCCTAGCGATTCGTTTTGAATTACACTATACCTAACTTTCCACGTTCCACCCCCTCGTAGAGACATCCATTGACAAGTAGGGGACTAGCCGCCTAAACAACGTCTACTCCCAACCCTCCCTGATATCGGCAGCCGCCGCTTACAAATATTCAAATAAAGAATAACTTAAATACTTAATAAAAAGTTAGTAAAATAATCTCTTTTATAATATTAATTAATACTAATAACTTTTATTTTCTAGTCTTATAATTATCTATAATAAATAAGATTTTTTTAGTTAAGTTTTTTATTTTATTATTACCTGTTATTTATTCTTTTAAATTATTAAATAAATTTGATTTTAATAAATGAAATAAATAATCAATTTTCTAATTATCTTATTATCCTATCAATTAAATATATCAAATTAAAAGTATATTAAGAAGAGATTACTTAAGTTATCTAATAAAATATATATATAATTTTTCTTATAATTTTTAGTAATTAATAAGATATTAATTCTTTTAGATTATTAAATAAGATCAGGTTAAAAAAGATTTCTTATACTTATAAAATATTTTTTAATAAAAAATACAAATTATTATAAGATTATTTTAGACGTTTGACCAGTATCTAGCTTTTATATAAATAAATTTCTTATAATTATTATATTATTAGTTTTTTTTAAGTATAATCTTTATAATTACTTATTAAAGATAATAATAAATAATATAAATAATAATAATATTATATTCTCTACTCTTATAAAATAGCTTTATTTTTAATTTAATAAAAATTTATAATTTTAAACTTTTTTAAATTATTTAAAATTAATATTATATGTTATATCTTACTTGTATTATTTAACTTATTATTATATTTTTTATAAGTAACTTATATATTATAATTAAGAATAATAAATTTTTTTATACTTAAGAAAATAATAATAAGATTCTTAATATATCTAGTAATATTATATAAATTATTAAAAAAATATATAAAGTATTTAGTAAAAATATTAATTATAATTAAAAAAAGTACTTTAATTATAATATTATTAATTATAACTAAAAAAGATTTATAAATTTCCACCATATAAAAAAAGTTAAAGATTTTTCAAGTTTTTTTTATATTAATTATAAAAATCTTAATTATAATTAATATAATATTAGGTCATACTTGCTTATCTCAGCCTATTTCTGAATAGTAAAAATTATCTATTAACAGCTAGGCTACTGCTAATATAATTTACTAAATATATAAACTCTTTAGATCCTATATTCTTTTATCCTAGCTAATATAACTTCCTTCTTCATAAATCTTGTTAGTAAGAGAATACCTACTAGCTTATTTTTATCTAGATTTTTATAAGATCTAGTTATATTAACTTTTAATACTTTTATTTCCTTGTTAAGCTTGCCTATTATCTAATATAAGCTTAAAATATCTCTTATTATTATTTTATACTACTAATCTTAAAGAGTCTATAATTTTACTAGTTCTCTTATAATTATAATTTTTAATTACTTAAAAAATTCTTTTACTCTTCTTATAAAATATCTTTTATATTCTTTATTTAAAAACTCTTATTATAAATTTATATAATAAGTATATTATTTAAGTCTTTAAATTAGCTAAGAAGTTATATTTATAATATATACTAATATATTTATTATACTAGATCTAGAATTCAAAGAATTAAATAACAATTTATAATATAATTATATTTTTATAAAAGATTTAATTATAAGATTATATAATATTAATATATAATAATTATATATTAAAATAATTATAGCCTTTAACTATAGGGGTATATAATAAATTTTATAATATTAAAAATATTAAAATAACTTATTAGAGTAATTTTCTTAAGTTTTATAAAAGACTTTATTAAATATAAAACTTAAGTATATTCTTTATAAGTTTTAATAAGATTTATTATATATAAAGATCTTTAGAGCTAGATTCTTATATAATTTTTCATTTTTTAATAACTTTATCTTATAATAATTAGTAATGAGAGATTATTAGATATGTTTATAAAATAAAGTTTAATTAAAAAGTTATAATAATAATTTAAATTAAGATATTTATATACTTATTACCTGTTATTCTTATATAACAAGGTAATTATTATATATAAAGTTACTTATTATAAATATAAAAGTAATTAATTTACTTAATAATATTATATATAAGATATTAACTAGACTAGTACTAGTAAGAATTTATAAGAACTTAAATAATTACTTAATTATTAATAAAAATAATTAAATATTAGTAAAGTTTATTTATAATAAGCTCTAGAGCTAGAGTAATTTTTATAAGCTTAATTATATATATATTATAATAGTTTTCTTATTAAATAGCTAGATTATTATAACTAAGATTATAATTAAGATTATAATTAAATTTATATTAAGTATTATAATTATCTTTATATTTTTTTAATAATTATTGTTATTAGTATAAACCCTGGGTATATAAGTTAATATATAATAATATTATTTAATTATTTTTTCTTATAATTATAATAATTATACTTAGTAACTTTTATTAAAATAATATAATTACTAGATAAATAATTTTAGTAATAAGTAATTAATCTATATTCTTTCTATAATCTTTTAATAATTATCTCTCTAGCTAGTACAGGAAAGATATAATAAGATTTATATTAAATTAATTAAGATTTTATATAAGAACCCTGTTTTGAATAACTTATAATATTTAATAAAATAATAAGATTAAGATTTATAAGTAATTATTCTTGATAAATTATTTAATAAAGATTTATTATAATAATATATAAAAATATATCTCTAGTGTAAGGTAACAGATCTTTTTGATTATTAATTAAATTCTTGAAATTTCTCTCCTAAATCAAGCTCTTTTTAGCTTATTTTTTTACTAGTTATAACTCTATTTACTTCTGTTTACTTCTAATCTTATCAGGCTATTTAATAGTAATAGTAATAAATATAATAATTATTTTTTAAAATATAGCTTATAAACTGCCTGTTAGGATACCTGATAAGTTATAATATTATTTTATTATATTAAAGAACCTAGGTATAGTAAATAGCTATTTTAAATTAGTATAAATAATTTAATAATAACTTTAAATAATTTTAGTTTAGGGTTTCTCTATAATATATAGTAAATTAATTATTAAAGTAATAATATAATTATAAATAAAGTATATTAAAACTAATATTAAGAAAAGTATTTAATAAATAAATATATTATTCTTATTAAAATTAGTAGCTTAATAATAAATCTTTTAAGCTAATTAATAATATTAAGACTAGTTATATATTATAACTCTTTTTTTATAAGAAATTTTTAGTTATATTTTTATTTTTAAGATTCTAATCTAAGAACTTATTAAGAATTATAAGATAATAAATTAAATTTTAAAATCAAGAAATCTAGGATTAGTTTTATAAGTTAAAAATAATTAATATTTTATAAAAAATAAAACAAGCTTAAGAAATTATAATACAGGCTAAGATTAGTATAATACTAGTATTAATAATTTTTATTATTATTAAGTAGCTAATAATGAGTAATCTTTAGCTTTAGATCTAGAGCTTAATTAAGATAAAAATTATTAAGTAATATATAAATAGCTAGATAAAGACTTATAGACCTGGGATTTTTATTTATATATTTATATAAAAAATAATAATTTATAAGACTCTAATTTATTTATCTTAAATATCATAATCAAGGCAATTATAAAGTTATTATAAGTAAACTAGAGTATATAAGATTTAAATATAAAGATTATTTATATAAAATAGCTAGTTAAATTATAATATAGTAAAAGAGCTTAATAATAATTAAATTTATTAATCTTATAATTATTAATTAGATTATTAATCAAGGATTATCTAGAAGTCCTATACTTTAGATACTAACTAGTTTTATAAAAAGATATAGTCTACTCTGGTCTACCCTATTAATTTTGTTAGGTCGGTCCACAATTTGCCCTAATTACCACTAAGATTTTAAATGACTGCCTTCCTAATTAGGACCCCTAGAGGCTATACCACCTACCTCCTTTACCAACTCACCTTCTTTACCAACCAAGCAGCCCTCTATATTATTAATATGACTCCTTCTCCTCTACCCGAGGTTGAATACTCACCTTGTTTAACGCGTGATGATTAGTTGTGAATCCTTACCCTTTGGTATAACACGGGCTACACCTATAAAGTAATTACTAGAACTCTTGATTATATTACTTACTAACAAGTATAATATATATGCTAAGCTTATATTCTAATACTACATAAAGCTAAAGGGCAGCCCTCTAAGCTCTTTAAAGAAGAGATAAATAAAATAAAAGATTTTATAAGATCTTCTAAGTTCACATATTATCTTTCTTATACTAGAATTATAAGATATATAAATTTTTTAGTATCTAAAGATATAATAACCCATATACTTTAGAAACAAGGCTATAAATATTATAAAGCTTTTTAAAAATCTCTTCTTAATAAATAAAACAAGTATATATAACTTTAATAGGTGCTTAAGTATATTAATTAGATAATTAAGTAATAAAATTCTATACTTTAGTCTGATAAAATATAGATTACTAAAAGATTTTATACATGTATATAAGTAATCTAAAAATCTAGAGAAGAGCTTAATAAGATATTTTTTTAGATTACTTTATTATATAAAAGAAACTAGATATTTTAGTCTTTATTTTATAAAGATATTAAAGAACTATATCTCTTTTAAGAGAAAAAATAAGATAAGATTAATATAAAATCTTATTATAAATACATGATTTCTCTTATAAAGAGATATCTAAGGCTTCTTTAATAAGATAATTAATATCTTTTTTTTATATAAGATAGAATTTCTAGTTATTAAAATTAGGCTATTATTTAAGATCTTATAAAGTATAATATAAAGCCTATATTTTAGCCTGCCTTTTTACCTGATTCAAATCTTATAATAATAGTATAAAATTAGATAAAGAAATAGATTTAAAAGTACTATCCTAGGGATAATTAACCTGAATATGATATTTTATAATAGTAAGTATAAGAGGCTTAGGATATAGTCCCTGAGAATCTACTTAGGGATTTAATTATTTCTATGTCAAAGTATTATCAAGCTGTGGTTAATACAGAAGGGGGATATACCTGCTTTTAGATGCTATATATGCTTTTATATAGGGAATATATATATATTCATGATCAGTGGCAAAAATCGGCAGAATCCTATATGGGCATAGTGGCAATTAGGGCAAATTGTGGACCGACCTAATGAAATTAATAGGGTAGACCAGAGTAAGCTTTATTATAAGTATTAAAAACCTAAATATATTTATACTTAATATTTTAATTAAATATATATTTATAAGACTTGTATAATAAAATATCTAACTTAAGAATACTTAATTAAGCAGGATCTAAATTAAAAAGGAGTAATAAAGAAATATATAAATTAAAAAAAAGTATATTAAATTACTAGCTGAAGTACCCTGTATATAAGATTATAATAAAAAAAAGTAAAAAAGATTCTTTATCTTAGTTTCTTTTATTATAAGATATTAGCCTGATTTGGGGCTTAGTTTTATACCCAGGTCTTTATAACTAATCCGATTCTTATAATTAACTAGACTCTTATAATTAATTAAAGCGCTGAGCTAAGTACTATCTAGAGTTAAAAGACTCAGCAACCTAATCAAAGTCATGCTACTATTATTTTTAAGCTTTTAAACCCTGAATAGTTATATTTAATATTACCTAGAATCTATCTAGTTTCTTTCTCCTGACTTTTTATACTTTATGATTATAATATTATAAAAAAAGGATTGGAACACTCCTGTGGCTATAATTATATAACTAGATATAAATAATTATAATATTAAAAATATAAATATATATATAGATATAATTATTAAAAATAATAAATAATTAAAAATATATTAAAAATCCTGGGAGATCATGACCCCCTAAAAGCTATATTTAAAAAGATCTTAAAAATATTTAAATCTCTAGTAATAAAGATTTTATAAGCTTTATTTTTTAATATATTATTATAAGATTTATAGGATATTAAGATTATAATTTATAATTAAAAAAATTAATAAGTTTAGATAATTAAGATTATTAATATAATTAAGTATTAATCTATATATATTAATAAGCTAATCTAGAGATTAGAATGAATATCTTATTTATAAGTCTTATATTATAACCCTAGGAAGGAGACTCAGTGACCTAATCAAAGTCACACCACTATTATTTTTAAGTTTTCAGACCCTAAATAGTTATATTTAATGTCACCCAGAACCTATCTGGCCCCTTTTTCCTGACTTTCTATACTTCATGACTGTGATATTATAAAAAAAGAGTGGGAAGGCTCCTATAATTATAACTATATAGCTAGATATAGATAACCATAGCACTAAAAATATAAATATATATATAAATATAATTATTAAGAATATTAAGTAATTAAAAACATATTTAAAAGTCTCAGGAGATTATAATCTTCTGAAAATTATATTTAAAAAGATCTTAGAAGTATCTAAATTCCTAATAATAAAAATTCTATAAGTCTTATTCTTTAATATATTATTATAAGATTTATAAGATATTAAGATTATAATCTATAATTAAAAGAAATAATAAGATTAGATAATTAAGATTATTAATATAATTAAGTACTAATCTATATATACTAGTAGACTAGTCTAGAAATTAAAATAAATATTTTCTTTATAGGTCTTATATCACAGAGTTATATTTATATCTAAGTTATTCTAGATATTAGGCTAGATAAGTAATACTTATATTAATATAACTAGTCTTAATAAAATAACTATAAGTAGCTTCTCTGGGATTACTATACTATTATTACTTATAAAAAATCTAGAAATATATATCTAGAGAATTACAGGCTTTATAATTAATTAGTATTAATATAATTATTAGAGACTTATAAATTATATAAATTATATTATTATAAAGATAAAAGACTAGATAATCTATTATTATAAAGTGATTATTAATTAAATATTAGTAAGTAATAATATAATCCTAATCTTATATTATCTAAATAATATAAAATAACTTAATTAAATCTAGATCCTGTAAGTAAAGACTCTTAATAAAAATATTATAATTAAATATTAGGATTATATAGTAATCCTGTATTATATAAATATAAAGATTATTAATTTTAATAAGTCTAATTAATAAATAATAATAAAGTAGTTACTTATTAATAATATCTTCTAGCTAGTAATTATATTTATAAAAATAGGTTACTTATAAGAATAAACTCTTTATACTAGTAATTAAGCTGGATAATAATTATACTAGGAATATATTAATTTATTAAGAAGTAATTCTAAATAATAAAAATTATAAGATCTTCTAGTATAATTATAAGTAGTAGATATAATAATACTTTGATTACTAGAAATATAAATATATTATTTATTATTACTAGAAGCCCTGTATATATATCTATTATACTAATATATATAATATTAATAATTATATTTATAAGAATAATAAATAATATACTAGATATACTTTTTACTAGAATATATACTTTATATTTAATTATAAGTATAAGTATTATAAGACTAGGATTAAATAAATCTATATATAATAAATTATAGGCGTGTATTATTTCTCTAAAATTCTATAATTAAAATAACTAGAAGAGAGAGATATCTATAAAATTAATTAAGATATAAATATTATATTAGATTATATTCTAGTAGCTTAGCTAGTTTAAACTAGATTATAAGTAAAGTTATAAGTAAAATTATAAGAATTATAATCTAAGATATAAGAGTAGATAAGATCCTAAATAAAATAAAAAATAATTATAATATAAAACTAGAATTATAAATAAGAAAATTATAATAAAAGCTAAGCTACTTCCTAGAAATAAAGATAAAGTTAGATATAAAATATAATTTTTAAGAAAGATAATTTTAACTTTATTTAATTTAAGAAATAATATGTAAATAAAAAGATTATAAATATAAAAATAGTTACTAGCTACTAGTTTATAGTAGACCTAATAAGATTTTATTAATATATTATAACTTAAGAAAGACTTTTAATAAGAAGTCTAAAAATAAGCTAAGTAAAATAATTATAATAATTATAAATAATAACTCTAATAATTCTATATATCAAGAATACTAGAACTAATTTAAAAATTATTATAGAAATTATAGGTCTTATAAACTAACTACTTAACTACTAGATTAATAAGCTAGTTATAATATATTTTTTTTTAAAAGAGAAGATATAAATTATAAATATTATTATTTAAGATTATAAAGAAAAGAAGTTATAAGTATATTTTTTTATATATAAAATACTTAAAGTTATAGATAATTTAATATTATATATATTATTTAAGTATACTAATCTTATATCTATATATAAATATTATTTATATATATAATATATACAATCCTGGAGTAATATCTTACTAAGAATATAATTAAATTTTATAAAATTTATACTAAATACTTATTAAAAGCTCTTATAAGAGATACCTAATAATAAAAGACTTTGATTTATATTATTTTATATAAAATTTATAGAGATTTAATAAGAGTAATTTATAAGCTAATAAGTTAATTAATATTATAATAAATTATAAGCTAGAACTCCTGCTTCTTATTAATATAATTACTTATAAAAAGACTAATATATATATTATACTTAATCTAGTATAAGTTATACCCTAGCTAGCAGACTAGTTAATAAGCTATAACTTATAATAAGATTAATAATATTATAAAATAAATTATATTCTTATCTTAACCAAGCTAGACCTATAGTTAATAATTATCTTAAAAATTATTTAATAAGACTAGATAGTTATAAACTAAACATTTTATTAGTAAATATTAGATATTACTCTATTTCTAGTAAGAATAGTTATAAATATTAATATAAAAATAAAGAGACTAGTAGAGGCCCTGACTATTATAACTAATATAATTATATTAGAAAAGATAATTATTATATTTACTAGACTTAATTATATATTAATAATAAAATGACTTAAGTAATAAGTATAATAGGTATAATAATTAATATATATGATTTACTAAAATTAGAGAAGAATAAGAGAAGTTTTAATAAATAAGGTATTAAATAAATTAAAAGATAATTAAGTTATAAAGAAATATATATTAAGAGAAAGTAGAGAAGATCTCTATCTTTCTAAATAAATCTTAATAATTAAACTAATAAATATAATTATAAGATACTTTTTAATTTATATATATATCTATATTTTAAGATTCTAATATAAATATAAATATCTAGATAAATAATATAAAGGAGAAAGCAGAGCTTGTTAAATATATATTATTTCTTAAAATTAGTAATATAAATATAATTAATATTACTAGATATAAATACTCTTTATTATTACTAGTATCCCTA